AAAACAAAACCATGCCAGAAATGGTGATGTACACCTATAACTCTAGCACTCAGGAACCTGAGGCAAGAGGATCATTTGGAGCTTGAAGCTGCCTGGGCTACAAGTGAGTTCAAGGCCAGCCTGAACAACTTAGCAAGACCTTGTCTCAAAAAAGCCAAAAACAGACAAACATTCAACATGACCAGGACCTCTCCTGTACGAGATGTCAGCTTTATCTGTATACTACCTGATAGTTTCTGAGTAGTTAAAAGCACACGCCATGAATACAATGGCCTGAATTTTTAAACAATTTAAGAAACTGTCAGAATGCTAAATGAAACTAAAGTTTGAGACATCTTACCAAACCCTTGACTAGAACAATGAGCCTAGTCAAATCCTAAATCACACTACCAGCAATTGTGAGGGTCAGGCTGTGAATCTGTGATTAATAACGGTTGTGATTAGATAAGTTATTCCACCCTATTCTACCTTCATTTTCTTCATCCATGTAACTGTGGCATAAACTCTTATTCTGAATAGTGAACTCAAAGTCAGCCCAAACTACATTGTCTCGAAAACAGAACAAAAAAGGTATGGGAATTGAAATCCACAAGCTATAAAGTAAATAATTAAAAAATTTAAAATTACTGTAAAAAATACATTGCTACTAACTCCCACACTTCAAACACACATCCCATCATTCTTATCATTTTCTGAAGCATCCTGGAAGTCTCCTTTCATGAATGTCCTCATTTGCACCATCAGGACTGCTTCAATGTCATGAATTAACTCAAAACGTTTACCTTCCATAGGGAAACGCCAGTGTTAAAAGTTGCATGGGGGGGGCCCAGCCCTAGCTCAGTTCTTTCTAGAATGGCTTTGTTGCCCGAGAGCCATCTGGTGTGAAGAGCCATATTTGTTTGTCTAAAGGACCTGGAGTAATTGTGTTTTGCTGGCAACAGATACATTCTTTTTTGTTTTCAGGTTCCTCATCAAATCTGTAATTATGCAGTTTCTGTCATCAATAAAACAACTAAAAGGGAGGGGGGAGTTGCATGGGACCAGATCCAGTGAAGAAGTGAATGAGGACACACAGCACTGTTTTTACAAGTCTGTGTTTTCACTGGATGACTCAGTAGCAGCAGTCACTGTCTTTATCACACCTTGAAGACACTCACCGAAGATTTCCAAAAGTGCTTCAGAAAGTGACAAGAATCATGAGATGAGTATGTTCA